TCCCTCTCATCTGCTGGGACCAACCTGTCTACAACACTACAAACAGTGTTTGAGCAGTTTATACCATGCTGTTGTATACTGTGTCCACAAGTGGCTGCATTTCAGCGATGAGTGAATGATCCCCATGTGTCACATTCTGCCAAGGGTTTTGGAATGAGAGGGGTAAAAAAAGCACTATAGCAAATGTACATTTATCATTAGGACAGGTACCTCAAATCAAACAAGTAATCGCTATGGCAATGACACACTGGATTTGGGAGAAAGCAGACCATGTGCCTTTAAAATTGCCCCTAAGAAATTACTATGTGTGGTCCCTATGCATAGGGACCACACATTGTCTATCCATCACTTAAAGCCTATGGTCTATGGATGAAATCCTGGCTCCACTGTAGTCAATAGGAGTTTTTCTCTTGACTTTAGTGGAGTCCGGATTTCACCCTATGGTCTTAAATGGGGCGTGGGCCCACGGCATAGGGATCAATTTCACCTAAAAATTTCCTAAAAATCTACTCCTTAGAGAAGGCAGCTCAGTCCACGCTATCCCTTTTGTGACATCTCCCATACTGACACAGCTGACAAAGTTTGCCTATTTATTCAGCAGTGTAAAGCTACCAACCACTAGGGGCTGACCTAGCCCCATTTAACTCTGTTCCTTCTGAAACCTAAATCCTCCACCGGATTCAGATCCAAGTCTCCAGCATTCACAGTGAAAAGCAACAGAGGGTCCTGTGGCACCTTTAAGATTAACAGAAGTATTGGAGCATAAGCTTTCATGGGTGAATGCCCACTTCATCAGACGCAAGTAATGGAAATTTCCAGAGGCAGGTATAAATCAGTATGGAGATAACGAGGTTAGTTCAATCAGGGAGGGTGAGGTGCTCTGCTAGCAGTTGAGGTGTGAACACCAAGGGAGGAGAAACTGTTTCTGTAGTTGGATAGCCATTCACAGTCTTTGTTTAATCCTGATCTGATGGTATCAAATTTGCAAATGAACTGGAACTCAGCAGTTTCTCTTTGGAGTCTGATCTGAAGTTTTTTTGCTGTAAGATGGCTACCTTTACATCTGCTGTTATGTGGCCAGAAGTGTTCTACAGGTTTTTGTATATTGCCATTCCTGATATCTGACTTGTGTCCATTTATCCTCTTGCGTAGTGACTGTCCAGTTTGGCCAATGTACATAGCAGAGGGGCACTGCTGGCACATAATGGCATATATAACATTGGTGGATGTGCAGGTGAATGAGTCGGTGATGTCGTAGCTGATCTGGTTAGGTCCTGTGATGGTGTTGCTGGTGTAGATATGTGGGCAGAGTTGGCATCGAGGTTTGTTGCATGGGTTGGTTCCTGAGTTAAAGTTGTTATGGTGCGGTGCGTGGTTGCTGGTGAGAATATGCGTAAGATTGTCGGGTTGTCTATGGGCGAGGACTGGCCACCCTCCCTGATTGAACTAACCTCATTATCTCCATACTGATTTATATCTGCCTCTGGAAATTTCCCTCTGTTGCTTTTTACAGATTCAGACTAACACGGCTACCCCTCTGATACAGCATTCACAGTGGCTGCACATTTCAGAATTGACGCGCTTTCTCCCTGCTTAGCTTTGTCGCCAGTTCCCATGTTCAAGACAACTCTAGGCCTGCCCTGCACCAGGTTTTTGGCTGCACAAAGAAGAGAGGGAGGATAAGACAGACTTAAGTTCGGGTTCAGGAACAAAGGGAAAGGGCTATTCTAACTGAGTGGCAGGAGGAGATACTGTTGTCTATGATGGGTCAGCACTGGCTCAGAGACCAGACCACACAACTACTTACGTTTGGGTTTTCGACAATCTGCTTTGACAACACCAAGGATCACGTTGTGTAACTCCTTATCCTGGTCAGTCACCTAGAAGATGCAAGAGAAATTGCTGATTCACAGCAGTCTATTCTGCAACACATGAACTACGAAGGTACATGCTAGCCTAACTTTACCGTGACTGCACCTTTGCATTTGTGCTATATACAAAAATAGTCAGTTCCATCTTCAAATTATTCTTTTTATAAGCAAACAAACAAACATTAATAACAATTAGGTGAAAGACAGGACATAAGAATCATTCCCAAAGGAGGGTGAGCAATGCAACATGTAAGTGCACTAGTCTGCTATTTCTAGAGCACAGGGTTCCAATCCTACTTCAGCTAACAGGGGATAGGAGTTTGATAGGTCCCATCCTTTGTTGGACATCACAAAGCCACCATGTAACTAAGCAGCCTAATGAAAGAAGACCGAGGTCTGGAACAGCCTGGGATGCAGCAGGTTAGGACTGAATTGCATAGGCAAAGCTGGACTTTGTGGAGGGAACATGAGCGCTGGAATGTAGGTGGTACACAAGTTTAATGTGCATTGGCAGAGCTGCATGGGAGAGGCTCAGCATTGCAGTAACAGACCATATTGCAGGTCAGGACTGAGGTGCAGTTGCAGAGCTGAAAGGAATGTGTATATGCTGTATGTGGTAGAACTGCAAGTAGAAAACTTACATAGCACCTGTCTCGGCTACTGTTGGCTTTAGCCCCTGCTCTTAGTCTCTCATTCTCATGAGCACTAGAGTTCAAAAATCCAGATTTCTTTGATTTTAAGGTAATGGCTTAAATCCTAATACGAGTCAGATTTATGCAGCTTATTGGCCTCAACAGTTCCTCTAAGGAGAAAAACATGAGACTCAGCCTCTGCATCTCTGAAAGCCATAACATAAGGCACCTACTGGTATAAAGAAATCACTCAGAGGGACTTGGAAACCCAATGGAGAGGGAGTCAGAGTGCTACCTCTAGGTAAGGAGAGAGCCACTCCTAGCTGAAACTAGGTTAGACCAAAGGAGGTGGTTCCCTTTGCATTCACTCGATAGATCCAGTGCCTGTGGACCATAAGCATGTTGTCGCTTTGCACCTCTCCTCTGGGAACGTGCAGGATGGTCTCACTATGTGGTAACATCTGATAAATGTGTGGGGTTGCAAGGGGTGTCCACTGCAGTTGCTGGTCACCAAGAGGCAGCAGCTGTCTAGCTCTCTCAAACACGGACACAAATAAACTGACAAGATACTGAAGAGGATAAGAAGCAATGAAGAGAGCTAAAACTTCTGAACATGTAAACAGACCCCCCAGGGTCCATCTCACCCTGTTGAAAGGGCCTTTAGGACTATGTGATTCAATCATATTGCAGAGCGCCTCCTGCCTGATGTGACATTCATGACCTCTGGTTACACATCTCCATAACTGCAATTCAGTTCCTTACATGATATACATCCTTGGGGCTATTTGATTTCTGGAAAACCACTCCTTTTTCCTGCAGCACCTTTATTGCCTCCTTGAACGCACTGTGAATCAGTTTGGAGCTGGGTTCACTTTTTGAATCCATCTGGATGGGGGAAAAAAACGAACAAACAACATACACATAAGATGTGAAATCCTAGCCCTTGAAATCAAATTCCCTTTGATTTCAATAGAGCCAGTATGTCAGCCAGAGTTTTTAGACAGACATCTTCCTGAGTAAAGCCAAGCCAGTTCCTCTAGCTCAAGAGTTCATAAGTTATATCTATTATATGCAATCTAACCAAATTCTCAGGCCAGAAGGGAATCACAGATGTGTGTCCCTGCATGACAGCAGAACCACCCAAGTCACCTATTGCCATCTTAATTCTTTGCTGAAATGGCTGCCACATACAGCCACCTCTTCCTGCCTTTGGAATACTGCAACCCCCAAAGTTGCTATGCTGCTTGCAGATTGGGAGACTGATTGACTGACTAACTTCCTTCCTCCATCTGCAGCCACACGCACACTTAGGTTCTGATTTTGACAGATCTCACAAGTTAGGTAGGAAGGGGCGGGTGGGTTGATCAGTGCTTTGCATAGGTGACCTCCAACAAGAATCTGGGGGATGGTGACACTCTTCTCCCTGAGTCAGTCTCCCAGAGAAGGAAGGGAATGGGGGAGGGGTGGGTGGGGAGACGGACTTGTGGAGGGAGAGAAAGGGAGTGATGGAAGGGGTGGAGGAGAGGTTAAGCTGCTGATGTGCTGAGACCACTACCCATCAGACTGACCAATATTGTCTCATTGCTGCCTTGTGCTCCCCCATCTATCTGTTCTCTTGTCTTATACTTAGAATGTAAGTGTTTGTACAGTGCCTAGCACATTGACCTGGGGTCCGAAGTGATATAGTAATACAAATAATAATAGTAATGAGTGGTATGCAATATTGCCAACCCCAAGCAGTCAAAAAAAAAAATCACCAGTCAGGCCCCCCAAAATCATGAGATTTTATAAAAATAAAAATATATTTCTAATTTGCCTTTTTTTAACCTTTAGGATGGCACTTAGGTCACTTTTCAAGATTTTTCTCTACAACCACGGAGAAATTTTTTACAAATTAAAAAAAAAAAAAGCCATGAAATTGCAAAAACTAAGATTCCCATTCACATGACTCCAGGAGCTGGGTCTTTAAGGAAGCAAACAAATATTGCAAGAGTTGACAATACAGGTTTTGCAATAGGAGGGAAGCAACATAACAGCCATACTGGGTCAGACCAATGGTCTATCTAGCCCAGTATCCTGTCTTCCGACAGTGACCAATGCCAGGTGCTTTAGAGGGAATTGAATGATCCATCCCGTTGTCCACTTCCACCTTCTGGTAGTCAGAGGGTATTGACACCCAGAGCATGGGGTTACATCCTTGACCATCTTGGCTAACAGTCACTGATGGACCTATCATCCATTAACTTATCTAATTCTTTTTTGAATGCTGTTATAGTTTTGGACTTCACAACATATACTGGCAAAGAGTTCTACAGGTTGACTGTACATTGCGTTAGGAAGTACTTCCTTCTATTTGTTTTAAACCTGCTACCTATAATTTCATTGGGGGACTCCTGGTTCTTGCATTACGTGAAAGGGTAAGTAACACCTCCTTATTCACCAGCAAAGGGTAAGAGATGCATACAAGGTGAAGAGAGCTGTGGGGAAGACAGGAGGTGTGTTAAGGGGAGGAATTTTGAGAGGGTTGGGAACAAAGGGCTGTACTGGGGAGAGAAAGAACATGGCAGCAAGAAGAACAAGAAACAGAAGTCAGGGGCTTGTGGAGTGAAGAGGAGACCTGGAATCGAGGGGTCTGTACTGAGAATGCAAAAAGTGATGGGATTTGCAGAGGAAGACGTGGGTAGGGAGTGAAGGGAATATAGTGAGAGTCAGGAAGAGCAGAGCAAGTAAGGGAGTAGGGAGGGCTAAAACAATGGAAGGACAGTAAGTGGAGTGGAAGGAAATGGAGGATACCAAGTAAGGGAGGGAAAGTAAATGGGGGTAGGAGAGAAGAAAGGGCTGCATATGAAGGAAAGGGCAAGACCACTACCTACTCTTTTCTGGGAGCACCTCACTTTCCACCCTGCCAAAGAGGAGGTTACTCACCCTGTGCAGTAACTGACGTTCTTAGAGATGAGTGTCCCTGTGGGTGCTCCACTCCAGGTGTTGGTGCGTCCCTGCGCCTTTGCTCGGAGATTTTTGTATCAGTACTTGTACCGGCCACGCATGCACAGAGCCTGCTCCCCAGCTCTGTGTCTAGCTTAATAGTACGCATGCGCAGCCGGTCTCCCCAGTTCCTTCTCTACAACGGAGGCTACCGCAACTCCGAAGTAGAGGGAAGGAGGGTGGGTAGTGGAGCACCCACAGGGACACTCATCTCGAAGAACGTCAGTTACTGCACAGGGTGAGTAACTTCCACTTCGAGAGAGAGATGTCCCTGTGGGTGCTCCACTCCAGGTGACTTAAAAGCAGTGTGTCTCAAGGAGGTTGGGACTTCGGATCTGATAGGAATGCCGTAGATAGTACAGCTCTGCCCAATCGTGTATCAGAGAGAGGGCCCTGAGTAAGGGCATAGTGTTTAACAAATGTGTGTTCAGAGGACCAAGTGGTTGCTTTACAGATGTCGGCCAGGGGAACTCTGCGTAAGAAAGCCACAGAGAAAGCCAGAGATCTAGTGGAGTGAGTTCTGATGCCGGCTGGAGGTGTAACCTTCTTCATCTGATAGCACAATCGGATGCACTGAGAAATCCAGTTTGAAAGTCACTGGGTAGAAATAGGAGTCCCTTTGGAACGCTCCGCGATGGAGACAAAGAGTCTAGAAGAGTTTCTAAAAGGTTTGGTTCTATCCAAATAGAAGGACAAGGCCCTGCGTACATCTAATGTATGCATTGTGGCTTCGAATGAGTTCGCATGTGGTTTTGGAAAAAAGGTTGGTAGGTGTATCGACTCATTAATGTGGAATGAGGAATGCACCTTTGGAAGAAATTTGGGGTGTAATCTGAGGGTAACCTTGTCCTTGAAAAATAGGGTATATGGTGGGTCTGCCATAAGAGCTGCTATTTCTCCTGCCCGTCTGGCGGAGGTAATTGCCACTAAAAATGCTGTTTTCATCGAAAGGTGTAAAAGGGAGCACGTGGCTAGGGGTTCAAATGTTTGTTGAGTTAGGCAAGATAGTACTAAGTGAAGGTCCCACGGAGTGGTAGGTGGTTTAATGTCTGGGTATTGGAGTCCCTTGAGGAAACGCTTGGTGATTGTATGAGCAAAAACAGAGGTATCATCAATTTTGTCATGAAAGGTTGTAATAGCAGCTAAATGGACTCGGATGGAGCTGAAAGAAAGGCCGGATTGCTTAAGGTCCAATAGGTAGTCAAGCATGAGCGGGAGAGATACCAACGTGGGACAAAGTTGTTTAGCTGAACACCAATGTGTGAATCGTTTCCACTTTCGTAGATAGGTGGTGCGAGTAGATTGTGTTCTGCTGTGTAGGAGCACTCTTTGAACTTAGTCAGAGCAAGCTAGTTCGTTTTGGGAGAACCATGTAGGAACCAGGCTTTGAAGTGAAGCATGGACAGGTTGGGGTGGAGAAATCAGCCGTGTTGCTGTAATAGGAGGTTCGGGATGAGAGGCAACGGAATTGGTGGTCGAATCGACATTCTGGTGAGGAACGGAAACCACAGTTGTCTGGGCCACGACGGGGCAATCAGGATCACCTTGGCACGGACTGTTCGTATTTTTATCAGGACCCTGTTGGGAACCGGTATCGGGGGAACTGCATACAGTAAGTTTCGGTGCTATGGGATCATGAATGCGTCTCCCAGGGAATGTTTGCCCAGTCCCGCTCTGGAGCAAAAGTCAGGATATTTCGTGTTTTTCGCAGTTGCAAAGAGGTCTATGGTTGGGTGACCCCAAATGCGGAATATGTTGTGAATGGTTTTCTCGTCTATCTCCCATTCGTGATCCCAGGGAAAGCGTCTGCTTAGTTCGTCCGCTGTGGTGTTCATCACTCCGGGAAGACAGGCAGCTGATACCCGGATGTTGTTCGCAAGGCACCAATTCCAGAGCTTCATAGCCTCTGTGCAAAGTGAGTGGGAGCGAGCCCCTCCCTGCTTGTTTACGTAGAACATGCATGCCATGTTGTCTGTCATTATGCGTACATGGTGATTCCTGATTAGTGGGAGGAAGTGACGGCACGAATTGCGTATGGCTCAAAGTTCTAGGACATTTATGTGCAGAGAGGTTTTGGTTGAAGACCATAGCCCCTGGACTGTGTGGTGAGACATGTGTGCACCCCATCCTGTCAGAGATGCATCGGTAGTCAGTATGAGGGATGAAGCTTCCTGAAGAAAGGGGACTCCAGAGCAGAGGTTGGAGTGAACTGTCCACCACAGTAGAGAATCTTTGACTCGGAAAGATATGGAGAGAGTCTTGTTTAGAGAGTGCACATTTGGTCTGTAAACCGTGCTCAACCACGCTTGGAAGCACCTCGTGTAGAGTCATGCATTTTGGACCACAAAAGTGCACAAGGCCATGTGACCTAGTATTTGGAGACAGTCTCGGGCAGTGACCTGGGGACTGTTGCGGAGTTTTGTGGCCAGTAGGCTTATGGAGTTGAAGCGGTCGGGTGGGAGAGATGCCAATCCCATCCGGGAGTCGAGGTATGCTCCTATGAACTCCAGATGTTGGGTGGGGCATAATGTGGATTTGTTTTTGCTTATTTGCAGGTCTAGAGATAGGAAACAATCGACGGCAAGTCAAGTGAATCGGAGAGCTTCGTCGAACGCTGAGGCTTTGAGGAGGCAATCGTCAAGGTAAGGAAATATTATGACCCCTTGTTTCCTGAGGTAGACAGTGACTACAGCTAGGATCTTGGAAAAAACACGAGGGGCCGTGAACAGTCCGAAGGGGAGAACCCTGTATTGAAAATGTGTTGAGCCAAGGGTAAAACATAGGAAGCGTCTGTGGGACGGGTGTATAGTCACATGAAAATAGGCGTCCTGTAGGTCGAGGGTTGAAAACCAATCGCCCTGCTCCAGCGCTGGGATTATGGTAGTGAGAGTAACCATCTTGAACTTTTGCTTTTTGACAAATTTGTTGAGCCGCCTGAGGTTGAGGATTGGTCGCCATCCCCCAGTTTTCTTTTCTGTTAAGAAATAATGGGAGTAAAAACCCTTCCCTTTGTGTT